TAGCTACCGGTGAAAAGGTCTCATCATAATCAATCCTTTGTTTTTAACGATATGTTTTTTCCATCAATATGGCTTTGTATATATATATATATATATATATATATATATATATATATATATATATATATATCAATCTTTTCTTAAAGATCCACTTACACCCAATAGGTCCGACACTTTCGGGTAGAATCAAAATTCATACTTGGTTAGTGTATATGAATTCCATGGCTTCATGTCATTTCTTTAAGTTAATGTCTAACATTATTTTTTCATAGGTATTAGGTTCATCATCATCCTCTATAAGAGGCACATCATCATGTGTAGAGACTAGAAGATCATATCTTTTTGGCTCTTGATGAATCTGCTTGGACCTAAGAAGTTTTTGTGTATCTATTTATGGGATAGTTATAACACTTTATAATCTATCTATTTAGGATTCCATGAGAAGAGTGTTAATTTATGAGTCAATTCGGATCTCATTGAGTTCAACTTTCCTCCTACTAGTTCTAGAACTAGTAATCCACCATATAAACACAAAATCAGCACAATTACATAGATTAATTCAATACATCAAAATTTTGATTATGGTCGAATCATCTAATCAAGGTAACCAATGATAAATGTAACACCTCTAAACTAACCGAGGCCAAGAGTGTTATCGGCAATGCTTTGCACTTCAAGTGCAATGATTGCGAGATTCTAAACCTTATGTCCTCTACTTCGTATTATGCATAATGAAGTGAAATTATACAATCATTTTTTAACTTGTTTATACATGAACATATTCAAATGTAACATAGTCTACATATAGTAAACACTTGACAAACTCGGTTTGCTTTTGACAAGCATCCTCAATGTCACATCATGCATCATTTAACCTACATACCATAAGAAAAACTATGATTTAAAACTCGGTAAGTAATCAATCATACATGAATGCAATATATATATATATATATTTCATGACTTTGAATATGTTTTACGTGATTCGGGTGCAACTCGCCAAATATATATGTATTCAACCCTTCATGAAAACCATACATATGAAAAACTATAAAAAGCATTAGACATATCCCATGTGGAGCCTATAATGCTCATAAAGAGTATTCACTAGATCATTCCCTTTGCGAACCATGATGGAACATGTCTAGCCATTTTCTTGAAAATATGTGCATTTCCTTGTCTCCGTATTTATGAAAACACGATAAAAACATTTTTGTGGTGTGAATGCAATTTACATGTAACACCTCACATAAACATATAACAAAGCATCATTAAGCATATCTTGACATGAACTTATAACAAAATATCGTTAAACATATTCATAAAGCTGAATTCATCAACATCATAAATATTCATTCATTAATCAAACAAGTATCCTTAAGCTTGGTCATAGATCAAATCATCAACATATATTCAATCACCAAATAATATAAAGGAATCATCTTACTAACATATGAATATATTTATCAAGTGAACTCAAACAATCCTATAACATCAAAGCATCAAGTAATCATAGGCACACAACCACATCAATTCATAAACATAACAATCCCTATGACACATATGTCTTGTGATGTGGAGAGACTACACTTACCTTAAGTTTTGGCTTGTCCTAAGATTTTCCCCTTTCTTCCTTACTTTCCTCTTGACCAAGGCTGCTCAAATCTCCTTCTCTCTAGGCCACACTCATTCTCTTTTCCTCTCGGCCTAGCTCTCTCTCTCTCTCTCTCTCTCTCACGGCTAAGCTTTTCTTTTCCTTAGCCATTTCAGCTTTCCTTCCTTATTTCCTCTCTTATTGTTTCTATGTTCTCTATCGAAATAACCTAACACTCCCCCACCTCCTTTTATAAGCTCTCTTAGTCGACCCAAATGGTCTAGAACTTTTCCTCTCTTTCTTTCCTCTCTTTACCGACCTAGAAGTTTCTAGAAAACTCAAGATGTTTTCTTTCTCTTTTCTTCCTCTTCAGTCGACTTTAGGAAGGTTCTAAGAAGCTAAATTGTCACATATATTATGGAATACTTAAGTTTAGCTATTAAGGATGGAACACTTAAGTTATTAAGTATGGGAAGTATGAAATTCTTTAGAAGTTTCTAAATTAACCTAGACTAACAATTGTTTAGGATACTAATTAAGCTTTATTTTTAAGTTAATATGTGTGTGAAACACTTAATTAATTTATATTTCTAAGTCCATCAAATTTGGACAACTTTACATATCAGTCTTTTTACTTTGTTACTTAATCCCTTAAGTCCTCATTCTTTTAATTGTTACAATTAAGCCTATTCATCACCTACACATCCACATCACTTAGTATCATGTATTTGTACAACCAAACATTCATCAAAGCAAGCACCAAGCACAACATACACATACTTAACAAATACACACACTAAAGCATAGAAATGTTCACGTCGAGAATATTACATCAAAACAACACAATTACATAAAACTAAACAAATTTCCCTAATTCTTGTACTTGGCAAAATCTTCTAGCCCAAAATCATCAACTTTCAACTTTTAATTAAACCTTAATTAAACATCTAAACATGATAATTCATAAATTAAAGCCAATAGTACATCAATAAATTGTCATTTCTAACATGATCATCAAGATTCAACTTAATCAAAGCAATTTAAAACCAAACCTTATAGTTCTAAAACTTCAACCATTAATCATCTAGCATAAAAAATATAAAATTCAAGTTTTTTCTTGATTTTTCTTATTTTTCTCTCTTTATTTTTCTTCCATTTGGCCGAATATTATGGACACCTCTTCATCTATTTTTCTTGGAAATTATGGTATGACAATCATCCTAATCTAGCTAAATTATTAGGTCCCTCAAGTTTCCAAAATTTTATATTTTTTTCACTTAAGTTTATTAATTATTTCAATTAGGTCCTTGCATTTTAGTTCTTAAACTTTTAATTGTTACAAGTAAACCATTAATCTAGCCTTTCCTAAATTTTATAGTGGCCACTCAACTTTACTAATTAATTTAATTAATTATCGAAAATTCTAATTATTTCAATTAAGCTCCTAAATAATTGCAATTAAGTCTCTTGGTTATCCACATATTTATATCAATTAATAATTTAGACTTACTAAATTAAACACTTACTAATTCATTTACATGACATAACATTCATGCATGCATAAAATAATATTTTTCATCAAAATATAAATATTAATTTCACATATTGAAATAAATATTCACATTAAAATAAATTATTCATACATAGATAAATACTTAAGAAGGTTTTAGGTCAAGGATATTACATGTGCAGCAAATGATGTGTCTTCTGTCCGTAATTTTCGACGAACTCGAATTTGTTGAAAAAGCGAATTTTGAGTTTTCGGCCTCTCCAACCCAAATCCACCATTATTATTATTATTATTATATCAAAAAATACCTCAAAATCACATAAATAAGATCAATAAACTCATTTTGAATCTAAACAACTATTTTAATGCACACGTAACACTCATAAATTCAAATCAAACTCAAAATCTTCAAAATATATTGGAGTCCGATTTATTTTTTCAACTATTTCATGCCTTTTGACTACCATTAACAATCTCTCATTTTCAAGATGAATAAATTGAATCCAAGATCGAGAACCAAAGTGGTCGAATCAACATCGCCATGACTTTCTCTTTTCGTTTCTTCGACCTTGTTTCTTTCTCTTCACTGCAATTAGAGACTAAATCTTTATACAAATGATGTTTGGAATCGAAACAAATATAGTTGGAACAATCAAGGACGTAAGTGAGATATCACCAAAAATTTACACAAAATGCTTGAAACATTCTTGAAAATCACCAAAATGCCAATGACGTAAATCACAAAAATGTCATTCCATATACAGTAGTATCCACAGTAATATATGAGTGTGTGAATAGTGATCATGAATAGTAATATACCCATGTCATTTAGTTATTCTTGTTATCCAATTGAAAATACAATAAATATTAGAACAAGCGAAAAGAGGTACAATTTTTTTTGCAATGAAGCTTTTTTTTTTCTTTCTTTTAAGAACCTATATACCAAGGTTTTTTTTTCTTTTTTTCATTGCCATTATTTTTTTTTCATTTCATTTTATTTTTATGGTACTACCGTCTACCGATTCAACTCACTGAATTAAAAATATATATATATATATATATATATATATATATATATATATATATATATATATATCAAAGTATATAAGTTACCAAAAGAAATCTATGAAAAAAAAAATCATACTTTTTTCTCTTTTTTTAAAAAAAAAAAAGAAAAGCAAGCATGAAATTATTGGAAAAAAAAAAAGAAAGAAAGAAAAGTAAGCATGAAATTATTGTTCTTATTTTATTTTTATTGTATTTATAATTCAAAGCTTAATATATTCCAAAAAAGAACAAATTTTTTTGCTGTCACTTGTTTTTTTTTTTTTTTTTTGGCTAGCAATTTTTTGCTCTTATTCATTTTCTTTTATTTCACTTATTCTAATATTTTTTGGATTTCCAATTCAATTTTATTCTTTTAACTCTAAATATAAAAATTATTAAAAAAAAAAAAAAAAAGTGAGCAAGGGCATTGGCCATGCGATTGCACCACTGGAAGTAAATCTGCCTGTCCAAGTGATTCAGAGAGTTGCGCCATGTTATAACAGATCTACACTGCGTTGGTTTCATCATGTCAAATCCATCTCCTGGCACCACCACCACTTATGTACTGTACATCTCCAATATGAAACTAGAGCACTGGTGTTGGACTGATTGAAGTGCAAGTGACCTATTTCCCAAACCCTTGGAAGAAAATAGAAGAAACAAACAAATACAAGTATAATATATTTTGAAAATAGAAGAAATAAACAAATACAAGTATAATCTATTTTGAAAATAGAATATCATTAAAGATATCTAATGACTTAATATACAACTATTAAAAACCAAATTCTCATGCAACATTTTCTCACTAAGAAATCTAATGACATTTTTTTTTTCATCTTGGAAATCTCACCCCATCTGACAAACAGATGAGCCAATAGGGTACAATGCCATAGTACAAATCGATGCATAAACATCCAAAAATGTGTGAAAAGTCACTTGACGGTTTGCTAGTCTCTTTTCCTAACCTTCTTGGACTTCTTGTGCTTGAAGCCTAAATACTTTTCAACATCATCTTCATCGTCATCTCCACCCCTCCTCTTCTTAACCCCACTTTCTTTAAGTTTCTGCAGATGGCAATTATATGAATATATCAGCAAAAACAACATCAACACCCTTGACACAATGGCAATGATATTAGCATCCAAAGAAAAGAAATGGTTACCAAACAAACAAACATAAATTGTCAAAAGATACTGTAAGGAGACAAAGCATTGATTAGCATCATTTGGGATTTCAACCGACAGAGCAGCACTAATAAGTCCAAAACAAAGCATTGCAATGGCAAAAGAAGAAAAAAAATTGATTGCCTCAACAAACCAAGCAAAAACTTCAGAATTCAGGATACTGCATTAGAAGGGAAATGGACAAAGGAACAACCAATACACTCATGTAGCAGTTTGACCATTCAAAAGCTTCAGAAAAAAATATACTTCTCTAACAGGTTATATCAGTCTTCACCATTCAAAAAATGAAGCACAAAGATAAAGCTAAGATGATTATTTTGAGAAAGTTACTACCGCATGAGAAATTCTTTTGGCATCAATAACAGGATCCAACAACAGCAAGACTTCCTCCTCTTGGGCGGGAAACTCTGGCAACTTTTTACCTGAAACATTAAATTAACTGTTTAGTATCCAAATCACTTTCTTGAAAATGCCTCCTAGAAATAAAATAACAAGTTTGAGCTTACCTATAAGATTCTCTATCTGTAGATACCACTCCAATTCATACTGATTTACTAGTGATATTGCAACCCCAGACCTTCCTGCACGAGCAGTTCTTCCTACACGATGAATATAATCCTGCAACACATTGAGAATCAGAAAGGTTGATGGTAAAATGAGCAACTATCTTGACATGACTCCTTGTTTTTCATCTACTAAAACCAGTAATATTAGGTATATAGATGGAAACGTTCAGATGTACAACACAACACAACACAACACAAAGAGAGCAATATCAGAAAAATAGATGGGGAAAATTTAAAAGCTTGAATGTTATGCAGGAATGGGGGAGGAATCCAAGATTTATTTATTTATTTTAATTAAGAAATAATAAGGGCAAAATTGGCAAGATAAGATTGAAACAGCTTGTCTAATGCAGAGAGATGGCTAAGAAACTAGATCTCAAATGATAGAATGCTATATTGTCAGAGTTAGAAACCAAGGTTCGATCTGGGATGACTTGTGCAAATTGATTTAAGTTGTTTTTTTAACTTTAGACTCAAAGAAAAGTCGTAAATATTTTTGGTTAGAAATTTTGACAAACTTTGACTTTAATTAAACAGTTATAACAAAATAAAGTCAAAATTTTGACTTAATAAAAAAATTCTGTTTTTAATTGCTAATTCATTGATTTAAACTTATATGACATCCCTTCATCATAAGAGTTGCTTTGACTCAATTCTTACCAAACATACATCTAACTTGAATCATTTTTTTTTCACAAGTTATTTATGGAAAACCTTTGGAATTAGCCGAAAGATATTTTCCATAAGTCATGCCAAACAGAACCTAGGTCTAAACATGGCACGCTAAGTATTCCTGCATGAATCCCCACAAAAATAGTAGATCTAACCTTAGAGTTTGAGGGGATATCGTAGTTAATAACCATATCAACAGATGGAATATCCAGTCCTCTACTTGCCACATCAGTGCATATTAGAACATTGCACTCTCCTGCCTTGAACTTATTTAAGGCTCCAAGCCTCTTTGGCTGCCACAAAAATTTTACTAACAAAGTGAGTGCAGATCAATTAATAGCCATAACACTAATGTAACTGACGTGGGGATAAAAAAACTGATGACATGGGTAAAAAACTGATCTTTACAAATGGAGCAAAATCAAGGGCAAAACACTACAGTTAAGTTCCTTGTACCTGACTCATGTGACCATTAATAGGGATGGCCCTTAGTCCAAGGTTTCGAAGAACCAAAGCTAAAAAGCTAGTTGCATCGCATGTTCGAGTAAAAACCATGGCAGTACTACCAGACATTTCAGTCAGAAGGTACACAAGATAGCAATCCTGTAAGCATGAAAAATGAAATGATTCTAAGGGTGACATTGAGAACTATAGACAAAAAAATCAGGAAGCAATTCTTGACTGATAAAATGAGAAATACATTAAATAACATAATTTCAACTCGCATGGACAGTTATAAAGCGTAAAGCATGAAGATTGTATTTTGGTGATAAAATTTAGCTAAAAAAATGGGGCGTGCAGCTAAAAATTTATATATATATATATAAAACAAAGATTGTATTTGGGTGATAAAAGGTACATGCTCTTGTAGAATATACTTTTTGTCAGAATCTATAATTAAAGTAGATTAGAAGTTAGGAGTTCAAAAACTTCTTACCCAAAAATATAGGTATCAGACAAATTGAAAATCACAACTTCTCTTTTATGGCAATATTGAAGCATAATTTGGGAAGAAAACTAAAAAGCATTAGTTCTTTTGTAAGAATTTTAAGAGACAGCCTTCACAGACTCACATAATAAAGTCCCTGCATACTTTTCCAAAACAATGGATCCAATCTTTTTTACAAACTCATACAAATTGGCATGAACCCCCTTCCTTAAATAAAATGTTACCCTAGATGACTCAATAACAAACATGATTTGGATTTCACATTGTATCAGTGTAAACATCAATAGTATATACTTGCTTATAAGCTTAGTCCTTTTACAATATCATACGAAGTAATACCAAACAATGGAGAAAGAAGAAACCTTGTGCTTAGAAGGAACAAAAAGATACTGCTGCTTCAGTGTGTCAACAGTGGAATATTTAGATGCTGCTTCAATCTGAAAGAATTGAAAGATGGCACATTTTACCAAACCATTAAGAAACACAAGGGAGAACAATGGACAAGGGTGGAAGTATCATCATCATACCTTCACAGGATTTCTCAAACAAGCTCTTTGGAGCTTCTTCACCTGTAAGAATAAGAGAACTTAATCAAACATTCAGCATTCCCTTGGGCATTTCCCTTTCTACTTTATGCTACTAATCCCACAATCCTTTATTTCTTGAACTAATGATACAATGTAACTATGGTTAAATTGCTGACATTACATCAGCTGTTGTTCATCTCTTACTCTAAGATCTATACACAATGTCCTTTCACTTTATTGCAGATCATACATGACCAAAAGCCAGAAAAAAAATCAATCTCAACCTTTTAACTTATTCAAGGGCTTGGATCATAATAAACAGAAGAATTGTGCAGATGTAAATGCTACTAACCTTTTTTGTCATGGTTGCAGAAAACAAATATGTTTTTCGATCCCGTGGAATAACATTTAAAATTTCATCCAGGGATTTCTCAAACTCTTCATTCAGTAACCTGTCTGCCTCATCTAAGACCTGGTCAACATGCACACAACCAGGAAATAGCCAAACAATTCAACCCATAAGCAAGGATATTTTCCAAAAAATGAACAATTACACATGCAAGGATATGTCCATAGCAGCTATAATTTAAAAAAAAAAAAAAAAAAAAAAAAAAAGAAGGAAGAAGTGCATACTGCAGAAACCTTAAAAATCTAATGGCTTGCATAAGAACAGAAAAATAAACGTACCAAATACTTCAATGTACGAAGAGAAAAACCTTTTGTGTTTGTCAGATGATCCAAAAGGCGTCCAGGTGTTGCAACCTAAAAAAGAACAAAGAAACTGATAATTATAAATGCATCATAAAAAATTCCTTATTCAATTAATTCTACAAAGGAGCACTTTGAATTTTACTTAAAAATAAATGTATAACTCACATTCACAAGAGTAAGCATAAGTACAAACATGCCTGAATATTTATGTATATATTCAAGCATAAAAATACACAGAAAACCATGTCTCAACACAAAGCTATCTATAAAATGAAAACCTTCCAATGCCATTTATTTGGCCAATGTGTGTGAAGACGATAAAAATAATGCAGGATGCTTAAGATCATATATTCACTACACATATCTTCAGAACATCCAACTACAACGAAAAAACCAACACAATAGAAATACTTACAACAATATGTGGTCTTTTTGCAAGGATAAGAGACTGTTGCACCATATCCACACCTCCAACTAGCTATTTAAAAGCAAAGAGACAGCAGACAAAAAAGCAAGCAAATAAAATTTAGCATCAAAGCTCAACGGAAAATGTGTGACAAGAACACCAATTCAAATTGTGTGGAAGGTGAAAGCTTACCACTCCACATCTCAAACCAATTCCAGATCCTAAAGCTTCAAATTGCTCAGCAATCTGTATTGCCAACTCCCTTTCAGAAAACAAAAACAACCCCCAAAACAAAACAACTTGTTTATTATTTCCAACACACAACACAACATAAAAAACAACTTCAACAACAGGACTTACTAAAAACCCAACCTTGTAGGAGAGAGAACACAGGCAAAGAAAGGTTGAACAGATTTCTGTGAAGACTCAAGTAAAGCTTGTAATATAGGTAAAGCAAAAGCTCCTGTTTTACCAGAACCAGTTTGTGCTAAACCAATCAAATCCTTCCCTTCAAAAAAAAAAAAAAAAAACCACACACACACACATAAAATCCATTAAAATTCGAAAATTATCACTAAACCAATCAAATCCTTCCCTAAAAATTACAAATAAAAAAATTTATAAATACAAAACTTGAAAAGGAAAGTTAATAAATTTTTACCCTCAAGGGCATGAGGCATGGCTTCAAGTTGAATCTTTGTTGGGTTTCTCCAACCCAAATTATCACATGCTTCAATTAATTGATCACATATTCCTAAGTCCTTAAAACTCTTCACTTCTTCTTTCTCCTCTGTCATTGTCTCCATCTCCTTTGTTTTAAGTTTTGAACTTTATGCTGTTGATTATAGGTTCAATTAAAAAGGAACAGACTTTTAACAAATGGGCTTGCTTAATTGATGGTGGCGGTGGCGGTGCCGCGTTAAAAAACAGAAGTGGATAAAATGGGGAGCAAGTAGTGAACGGCGGTGGAAAGAGAGAAGGAGAATACAGGTTTCCGAGGGTTTTATCTTTATAGGGTTTAAAAGAGTGTAGGGGTTCTATAAAACAGACAGAAATTAAAGACAAAACTATATTTCAGTCTCCTTTTATTATCATTATTTCAGTTTGAGATAATAATTTAAATTGTTTTCAGCATTACACCTATAGTTTTCAAAATAATTTTCAATATATGACTCCAATTATAATTTAAACTATAATTTTTATTTAGAAGATCACAAGAGAAATAATGAACGAAAATTAGAATTTTTTTTTACATAATCTATTTTTGTATGCCATCTAAGATAAAAATGACAATTTATATTATAAATATGTTGTTTGTCAGACCTTTGCATTTTTTAAATTGAAGCAAGAACTATTTAAGTAATTCATAAAAAGCTTCTTTTTTTGGTTTTTATTAATTTTGTTCTTACTTTTCTCTTGCTTTTTTACTTCCATCTCATTTATTAGCTAATGTGTCATAAAAATTCTTAAATCTTATAAAACACTAAGAAAGTAGATTGTTGATATGTTTTGTTGGCTATTTAACAATTAGAAATCGAATCAAAACTTTTTGAAAAAACTAGAGGGTAATCATTGAAAAAACTATAGGGATTGAAGTCAATTACTCGTTAAATCTTCGGAGACTAAACCATAGATTACCCTAATTTAAAAACCTTAAACGATGTCGTTTATATGAACGTTTCGGAAGACAATCGAACTTAAAACTGTCTCGCTTCTGGTCTCTTTTCTCTCACTACTTTCGGGTATTACATGTTTGCTTTTTCTTACCTTAATAAAATTTTGACAAATGATTTCGTTGACTTTTTAAGCGAGTTTTAAAAAATTTATTTATTAATTATAATATTACCGTTATTTTTTAACCATACTTTCCTAACATATAACTTTTCTTTAAAGAAAAAATATATCCAATTCAATCCAATAAAATATATCCAATTTTATTTATTTATTTATTTTATTATTATTATTATTATTATTATTATTATTATTATTATTTGAAATGGAGAGAATAGTGTATTTCTTTTTTAAAAAAAAAAAAAACACAAAACATTTTGCGATCCATCCGAGAATCTAGTATATATTGAACATGCAATAACAAGCAGTTGAGTCCGTCCAAATTTTACATTCGATATCAAAGGTAACTCAATTTCACATAAAACCCACGTTATTTTTTCCTTTTAAGGAATATGTAATCTTTGGTAGTTTGTATCTTGTGGATATCTCATAAGTTTTTCCTTCGTTGATTTGGGCTCTAACTTGTCATCATCCTTACGTTTGACATATGCTTTATAACCCCAAATCTTAATAAAGATAAACTTATTTGGAATCCTGTTCAAGGTACAAGTTGTAGTAATGAGTGTTTTTTTCACAAGCCTACATGGTAGATCTAGCTCATAAGTGCCTATAACTAATGGTCCAAATTTTGATCCATTGTCTGTCGTGTAGGTCATGCTCCCTTGAACCTATCTTCTTTCTCTTTCTAAGTTCTTGCACATTTAAAAAATGTGAGCACCATATATAGTATCACATACCTATGAAATGGGATTACAATTTAAAAAAATCAGCTTTAATAACATAAATACCCGAGGTGGTTGTAAAAATTTTCTTCTTCACCTCTTCTAAGTACTCCTTGCAATTGTGTTTCCAATGCCCTTTCTTATTATAATGAAATTAAGCGGATCGCATCCTTTGGGATATTCCGAGCCTTGGGCTTTCACCCTCTAATAGGTACAATAGAAGACTTCTTTTCTTTTGGTGCTTTGGCTTTTTCTTTCCTTTCACCATGCCTTTTCTTTTATTAACAAGAAGTACATAACTCTTATTTTTCTTATTAATCTCAAGTTGAGCTTCCCTTAGCATGGACAAAACTCTTCAAGAGTTTTTTTCCATAGGTATCATGTTAAAATTCATGAATAACTATCCAAAGTCGTTAGGTAACGATTGCAATACTAGGTCAATAGATAATTCAACATCTAAATCAACTTCAAGCTTAGCCGACCTTTTGATATAGATTATCATCTCGGTGACATACTTTACAATATTTGATCCTTCATCCATTCCGCTCTAAAGGGCTTTTATACTATTTCATAGCACTAATGCCTAGTATTTTTCTAAAAAAAATCTTAAGCTTTACTATGATATTAAAGGCATTTGTGCCTTATGTTAGTGTCTATGATTTAACGTCGTAGGAGCCGGTATGATACTTTGAGAGATGATCGCATCATGCTTATATTTGACCTATATTGTATAAACTTTAGCTTGATCCTAAGAAGGTTCAACTAGGAGAGCTATCTCTATTGTATAAAAAATCTTTTTATATTGGAGGACTATCATCGATTCATTTCCTAGTCGAGAAAGTTTATGCCATTGAAGGTATTACTTCCATCAATAATCGATCGTATTGATGTATTACCAATCATACGATGCAATTTGATAGGGTAGAAATGTACGAGTTTGATTAATTAATTTGCATAAATAAAATAAAAACATACATTAAAGAAGTAAAATTTATATTTGCTCATACTATTTTCTTCAAGTTCAATAACCTTTAATATAGGACTCAAGAAAACATTTGATTCGTTTTCCTTAATAGGTTTAGAATCACATCCCACTATTTTTACTATTATTATAATTGATTAGGTTGTTTTTTTAATTATTATTCTCATTTGATTTAAATTATATACTAAAAACTTTAAATTTTATTTTTATTTTTATTATTATTTTAAACATAATATGAAAATAAAAAAGTCTTTAATTTCAATGCAATCTTTGATTTCTAATACCTAAATTACCTTTAAATAAAAAAACTTTATCTAGTCATTTTTGTTTATTTTAATATTTATGCCTGATCTTTTATTTTATTTTTTAAAATTTCACTCAATCTACATTATTTATAGATTATCTTTTGGTAGATTATTATAGGACTGAATTGCATCCAAGTATTAATACCCTACGTCTAAAATTAATATTAAGAATATACCATCGGCGCTTTTTTTTGGATAAAGTAATCTCCATTGGCACCCTAATCAAAATGGACCTAGCACCTACATTTTATAAATAAGAACTCACATGGACTTACCACCCATGTAAGTGTTACTACCAAAAATCTTAGCCCAAGGCCAACAATATAAAGGAGTCATTTCCCACATCACTCAACACTCACTATTCAAAATGGCAATGGCAAAACTAGTAGTCCTTCTTTTTGAATTCCTCTTTCTCTCATACTTGATACCTTCTCTAGCTCTTCCTCTCCAAACAAAAACGACAACATCGTTTGTGTCCCCTATTCAAAAGGATCATTCTACACTCTAATACATCATCTCTCGCTTACCTACAAACCCCTCTCAAGCAAGCCAAATTACTCCTAGACCTTGGTGCTAGTTTTACTTGGGTCATTTGTGACAACAACTACTTCCATTCCACCATATACAAACACATTCCTTGTAATGACTCACTTGCTGATTTGCCTTGTCAACTATGTGGATCCACCAAGTCCAAATTGTGCCAACAATTCTTGCTTGCTCTTTTCTAAAAACCTATCAAACCTATTCATTTTGCTAGAAGCGATCCTATTGCTACCGCCCTCGTTGACTATTTTCCTTTCCTATATTAATAAATGGTTCAACTCAAGTTGCACCCTTGGAAAAAATCCAAGTACTTCATCTTTCTTGTGGTCGTATCGGCTATCTAAACAACCTATCTAAAAAACTAACTAAACTCACAATATATATTCCAAAGGAAAAAAAAAGGTGCAACAGAGGCATTATGATTGAGCATTAATTGCTCCGTCCAAGTAAGTGGAGTTACAAAAAAATGGGTGAAAAAAGGAAAGCAACGGTAAGAACGTGTGTATATATACGTCTAAATTTTTTTTTAAAAAGAAAAAGATGAAAAAGCCAACTCACGCCTCGCCGAGACGAGCTAGCTCGCACGTGTGTGTATATATATATATATATATATAAACGAAAAAAAAAGGAAAAATGCCACTCCCGGTTAGCCGAGCCCGAACGCTAGGGGTGGCCGACTCTCAACCCAAAAAAAAAAAAAAACCTATAACTTTCTGGGAACTCAAGGTTGCTGGAAGGCTCTTTGAAAAATCGAGGTTAAAGTTTTAGACCTCTAGAAATTGAATTTCGGTATCATTTTTTTCCCCAAACATCTCTAAATGATCGAATAAAGCCAATAAACACATCTAAAACCTTAAAAATCATTTTAATGTACATTAAAACAAAGAAAAATACATAATCAAATCGAAACTTTTTTTTTGTTGGCTCGATCTACCTCATTTGATTATTTAATGACTTGAAACCATTATGTACAAATTCATCTCTCAAAAATAAAAAAATCTAATGAATTTTCGCCGATCGAAATGGCCTAAATAAATTTAGCCGACGATTTCTCTCTCCTCTCGTCTCTCTCTTCCTCCCACCCTTCTCTCTCCACACAGGGACCAAAATGGATGAGAAAATGAAGATGTGGATCGAAATATTTGTTTGAAAATATCGGGGACCGAGTATAAAAAATTGCATAACTTTCACCCATCAAAATCACGAAAATACCGTCCACATTGCAACCGAGTCCGGCGCTACGGTAAGTGAATAGTGAAATGTTCACTTCGTTTAGTTTTATAAGAATGTCATTAGTTTCATTAAAAAATAATTATATATAGATTTAATTTGTATTAATAACAAAAAATAAAACTTTCACTCACATTATACCATACAAATCATTAACCCTATGTATAATGGTTGTCTGCACTGCAACATAGCGTGAGTATCCAACTAGTAATCTTACTAAAACAACAACAAAACCCATCAAGCCATTCGGTGTGTGATACCTTGCAAGTGACATGAAGGCTCACAAAATGGGACCTGTCGTGCCAACCATTGATCTCGTGTTGCACAAAAAAGATGTGGTTTGGAGGATCTTTGGATCAAATTCTATGGTTAGGATTGTAAAGAAAAGAGGTGTTGATGTGTTGCGCTTGCCTTTTGTGGATGATGGGCTTAGTCCTACCACACCAGATTCAACTTGGATTGGCGGTCCATCTATTGTTATTGGCGGGCATCAGTTGGAGGATAATATGCTGCAATTTGATTTGGAGTACAAGAAATTGGGTTTTAGTTCCTCAATTCTTTCGAAAGGAACTAATTGTTCCAATTTCAAGTTTTCTACCAAGAAGGTCTAAAAAGATCATCTACCCCATTTTGTCTCATTTATCATTGAATCTTTATTTTTTAGCTGTTAGCTGAAAAAGGTTAGGCCAAAACTTATTCTTCCAAAACAAATGTGTGACTTATATGTAGTGCACAATTTTGTTTTTAAAAAACAACTTGTGATGCCCTAATCATTCCCCATTTTAAGATAAAAAGATCGATCATTCCTTTCTCCTTTTGATGCAAATTTCCAATTTTATAATTGAAGAACTAGATACAAATCGTAAATTCTACAATGAATTAAGTACAGAAAACCTTTATTAAGAATTGAATCAATAAAAAAAAGTACCGTACAATTCACAAATAAAACAGAGTAGAAGAAAAGAATTCGAGGAGAGTTCCTGAGAGAAAAGTACCAAAAGGAGAATACAATTGTTCAGAAATCTACAAGACAAATCAAACTGCCCTCTGGCTTATCGTTAATACACTAGCTGCTAGAGATACTCTTAAAAGTAATTTAACAAACTAACAACAATCAGTCATGTTACCTTCAATAACCTATAATCTTATTTCTCTTTCTTTCTTGAAACGGTGAAAATTTTAAAATCAAACTATAAAGACCAAAATTGAAAAAAATAATGAATAAATTCCATTATGGAAACGGAAAAAGCTTAGCAACATATTGAGAACGATGAGAATTACATAAATAGGATTCCCACCACCCCCCTCTAATTCTCAGGTTTAGATAGACAGTACAGTACGGCCATAAAAGTCTTACTACGAGCAATTGAAGAGTTATTAATTTTCAGTTCAGATTTTTGCTTTCTAGCAGGTTCTCCTATTTGCTTAAACCCGGGGCATAACCAGGGTTAATTGATTACGGGATGTGGTCCTTGTACTATAGTAGTTTGCTAAAGTAAATCCTTCTATTGTTAATTTAATTAATTGAGTCTCTATGCTCTGCGTTTTGTTTATAATCAAAAACATTCCTTGCACATCCCAAAGGATTGATTTTAGTAGAAGGAATTCTAATCGATTAAGAAGTGATTGTAAATTCGAATTTGAATCTTTATATATGTAAAAAAGCATTTTAGGTAATTATTTTTATCTTGTGCGTTCCAATAAAACATTCCTTGCACTAATGCAAGCATAAAGAATTGCTGGGCTTAGGAGATTGATTGCGACAAGTGTTGTCATGTGTAGGAGTTAGTTTTGCTGAGTTACACTGGAACCCTGATCACATGGATATCAGATGTAAAAAAGACATCATTTTCTGACAAGGTAAAGCACTACTTGGTATACAGCCACCTATTGGGAGGAATATGGAACGATCAACTCCAACAAATTGGACAATTAACCAAACCAAGACTTAGAACGGGAAGAAACTGAGGAACGCAAGAACAGAACCAGTTACATGGCTGGAAGAAATTTGGGTTCGGATAGCAGATGATTTGCGACCAGTACGTGGATAAAAACGACCCCTTCTGGTGATGTAAACTCCTAACTTCCGAGTCTGAAATGAACTGCTCAGGTCATTTTGTCTTCCCTGGGGCGGCTGGGACTTGGTTAGAACTTTATCGAATTGACTCCTGGCAGCTGAACTTGGAAGTGATTGAGAGGCTGAAGAGTAGGGAAGTGAATACAAGTTTTATTTGAGTCATATCTGCTAAGTAGCTAACATATTTGTTGTTCAATGAACTAACACTAACTCTATGACTAAGGAGCAGGTACTAATAAGTAGGGACAGATTTACGAAGTTTTGGTGGTTGAGGCGGGCTCAGTGTGATTCATTATATTATGATTCTTCTTCTTTAACACGTTATATTATGGGTTGAAAGAACAAGGAATGTTGATTTTAACACGTGACTGAAACATATATATAAAACTTTTAATCTATTGCGGAAAAATAAATACATTTTTAAACTAAAAAATCCTTTAAATAATATAATTTTTTAAATTTGTCTCTTCTATTAGGGTTTGTTTGAGAAATCGATGAAAAAAAAAATCTTTAAAATCCTTTTTTTTTTTTTTTTCTATTAGTAAACATATTTTCCTATTAGCAAAAAAAAAAAAAAAAAAAAAAAGGGAATTAGAAGGATTTTTATGTTTTCCTTTTTATGAATTTCTCAACAGCATCATAATGGAAGAGGCACATTCAAAAAATCTATTGTTTGAAAGATCAAATATGAAGTTTTTTAGTTTAAAAGATATTTGTTTTATTTTTTTGCTGGAATTTTACAATTTAGCCTTATCACCTTATATCAAAATATACATAATAGTATCATGCGCCGAGTCCCGCCAGCGAATAGCCCACTTCAAGTAAGATACCGACAACAGCCTAGCAAATTGATACAAATGGCAAAAGAAGCAGGGATAGACAACTTCAAGTAAGATATACCTTTCCGGCAAGCAAAGGGAATGGAAACAGCAAGATTTTACTTCATTTGACTTCATGATCAGAAAAGTCAGATGGAATCATATCAGCAAAAGTAACAGAAGTGAAAAATGACAAGGAGAAATTAAGCTATGACCTCAATATCCCAAGTCCTAGCTTCGAAATTTCTACAGGATACCCCGACTAATGAATTCATAGGGTAAAATACTTTGATTACCCAGGACTTCCACTCAAAATGTTGACAAAAACGCAGTCATCAATGTCAATTAACTACTAATGCGCCGAAAGTGGGAGATAATTCTTAATTGCATCAAATCTTTCTATCTATCTGGTCCCAAATACAATGCTTCAAACGTATGCTATTAATAGAGTAGGCTTTATTTGGATCTTAGATATGTAAAGGGAATCCTCGTCTGTTGTTAAACATATTCATTTAGCATATGCTGCTTTGAAAGATCCTAAGAAAGAATTGTTATCATAGACAGTTGGTCTCCGTTGGTATTTTAGCGACAGATATAGTGAGGGATCTGTGAGGAATTTTAGATAGTATGATTTAACGAAGACAATTACATTGATAACTATAAAGGGAATAGCTACGATTTTATGATAGATATCAGACTAAAAGACGACTGTTTACTTCGATTTAGCAATAGCACCAAGTGTTGTCATCTGATAACACCAAAACTAGTTGAGTCATTTAGCATGTTGTTTTGTGGGTTATTTGGGGTCTACCTCAATAAATAAATAAATAAGTGGTTGCAAACAAAGAAAACCAGGAAGAAAATTTAACATAATACTCAAAAGTTTTAAAAGAACTTTACGCTTATCAATGAGAATGTATGATTTCAAACTGAGATTTTTTTTCAAATATAATGTTTTAACAGAAATTCAATTCTTAAGGATTACAGATATAGATTAGAGGCACAAAATGGAACTAAATATCCAAATTATTAGCTTATAAATTATAAGCTTACAATCTACTGTCTAACAATGCTGAAAGGATGAGCTGGAGGAACGAGAGGCTGGCACTGGAATGGCTTGATGACAGACTGGCAGTCTACTTAACTAACAAGGCCACGTGATAAGGGAGGTCACAAGTTACTTAACTAACAAGGCCACGTGATAAGGGAGGTCACAAGTTAGTTAGTGGTTAGTTTGTAACTGTTACAAGTCAGTTGCGAGTTTGTTAGGTGATTGGTGATAGGGAGTGTATAACCAGAGATTTCAGAGAGAGAGAGAGGATAACTTAAATCATTTTTGTAACAACTCTCTCTGTTCTTCTTCTGGAATTTCCCTCTTTCTTCTTCTTCTGGAAATTGAGTTGCATCAAACATTTATCATTAGCTGAAGTAGATTTATTAGGTTGGCTGGGTTAAGCTAATACTATTATGAGTTTACTTGTCATTGGATGAGTTTACTGTGATGGGACCAAAGTCCCTATAATAACTTGGGTGAGGCTGTGCAACTTTTTGATGAAATGTCTCGCAAAGACTTGATTTAATATAGACACTTCTACTGCTTTGATAAGAAGCTTGTGCCAGAGTTGGGAGCTTGGACAGCGCAACAGCTTTTAAAATACATGTGTGCTTGTGAAAAAAATCCAGATATAATAATATACTCAACTTTGGTTCATGGGTTCTGCATACCAGGGAATCTTGATGAGGCATTGGTGCTATTTCCAGCGATGCAAAGGGGTGGTTCGAAGCCTCACTTGCTGATTTGCAATATCCTTATTGATGGAATGTGCAAGTTTAGGAAGATTCAAGATGCAAAGGGACTGTTTTCTAGACTGCCTGATCAAGGGTTTCAGCTTGAAGTTTATACATACAATCCATTAATTGGTAGAATGGCTGCTCACCCCCAACGAATGCACCTATAATTTCATCATCCAAGGATTTCTCCATAGCATCAATGGCGAGGCAACTTGTCAAAGAAATGGTTAGTCGGGGATTCTCTGCAAATGCTGCCACAAGAACCTTGCTGAGAAGATATTCCCGATAAAAAAAATTTACAAGCACTCTATGACGGCAATCAACGATTCTGTTATCGTTGCAACTTTTTGTGAATCTCTTCAAATTCATATCCCATTCTTTTTGTTAGTCTTTATGCATGCCAGGAGTTATGTACTTTTTATTTGCTTTCCTTTCTCTAATTAAACTATAAGAGACATGACGTTGCTAGCCTACGTCATCTGAAACTCATATTTAGGCAATCCTCCTTAGGGACAGCAATATAAAGAGAACTTGCCAGATTCTCTTTATCTTTTGTTGTGCCTGTAATATCTGTGTTGGAAAATTGTTTAGTAGCTTCAGTAAAACTTGTTCTAGGACACAATATAGGTCTTGAGTTTGTGCAGTCAGTAGAACATCTATTCCTTCATGATCATCTACAAAAAAATTTCTTGGCGTTCGCAAAGATGCATGGTCAATTCCTTTCGCTGACGTTGGGCCTTTTCTTTTTATGGAGAAAATTGTTTTCCTTAATTGTCTCCTCAATTGCTAATACTATCATTTAACACGGCATGCTCCTCATGTTAAGAAATGTAACCCGTAGAATAATGGAAAATAAGCCAAAATCTTGAATGTGTAGCAATTAATGTTACAAAGTTTGATACCATAGGGAGAAGAAAGGAAAAATAAACAAGAAGGGAGGAAGTTGTTTATGATGGATGGTGATGGAGGGAAAGAGTTGGTGCTGTACTGTTAAGTGAAAGAGATGCTTCATCCGGAAATACTGGTAAGCATATAAGTACAGTTGCTGGTGGTTTCCCTTGTTTGTAACGTGGCCCCTACAGTTCTGGAGAAAATCTCAAAACCAGAAACTATGGCTACCGTGTGTCTCTAATAAGGGGCTCTACCTCAAAAGAAAGTTAGCATTAAAGCTTATAATTGGATCGGATTTACCAGCCTCCCCACTTTTTAGTGCTTGTTGTATTCTAGAGCCTTCGGGTTTTAAGTTTTGGCAAATCCATTGATCATAAAAAGAGCAGGAACTTGCTCTTGCAGCTGATATTCTGCACAATGCATCGACTACTCTTGATGAGAGATATTTCAAAGTTTGGACAAGAAAATTTGATCCTGTAGGTAAAATTTGTTCTTGTACAATCAAACTGTTATATGGTTTCAGATTCCCAATAAGTAACTAATTCTGAAAGAATCGTTAATTTGAGATTGGTGGAGAGAAATTATCATCGGACACGAGTCATCTTGTTAAACGAATAGATTGCATTTTGCTTCTCCTTTTCAATCTACCAGGTTTGGGAGCTCGCATACAAATTACAACCTAAGGATCGTTTGATGTACATCGATAAAATGCTGAATGGAAAAATTTTTGTGCCGATCTTCAAGTTCTTTGCCTAAATGCTATAGTCTGATTCTGAGTGTCCAGCCAGACATCACCAGTAAAAAGCTGTAATCCCGAAGGCAGGCAAGTCATCTCTGCTTGATGACACAAAACTGGAATTACCAGCTTCAGATGATTCAAAATCCTCTTTCTACACTTGCACACATCAAAAAATTCTAGTTTCCCCATCAGATGATCACGATATAGGCATAGACAATTCTCTTCTATACCTGATATTAGATTAATGCAAATTCCAATCCTAAGTTACCAATGTAACTGCAAAGCTATAATCTTGAGCTGATAAATAGCTTCATTACCAAAAGTCAGAACATGAACATTGGCCACCACTAAAATTATGAAACCGATAAGGGTCTCTTAATATGATTTTCCGGCCAAGAATTCCACTAGCAAGCTTATAAACAGAATGGCAATCACCACAAACACGAAGGTTCTTGAAAATTTTAAGAGTTGAACCTTCAGAAGAATTGATCAAGCCATATGCAAGGGCAAGTCTCTCACTGTGGTTCCAAAGATTGTGCTCCTTTTGTTCTTCATCAGTATCTTGCAAGGCATAGCTTGTATCAGGGACATGTCCTGCTTCAGTAATCATCTTCTTAAGCTCTTCCAACTTTGCATTTATTTGACTGGTCTGTGGATGTGACTGGTCTCCCATTCCAAATGAACTCAACTTGTTCTTCGATTTCACCCAACTGCAAGCAGGTTTTTTCTTTATTTTATTTGATCCCATTTGCCTCCTGACATTCTCTACATCTTCCCATTTCCCAGTGGTTGCACAAATATTTGAATAGAGAACATAAGCAGAATCATCCGAGGGGTCCAATCTCAAAAGATTTTCTACAGCTTTTCTTCCAAGCTCCAGATTGCCATGGGTTTTACATGCAGCTAATAAACTTCGCCAAACAAGATCAGTCGGTGAAACTGGCATTTCCTTAATGAAAGTTTCAGCCTCAGCAAACCTTCCTGATCGTCCAAGAAGGTCAATAATGCATACGCAATGCCCGATTTTTGCTGGAATACCAAACTCTTTTATCATTGAATCATAGTATGCCAGACCCTCCTCCACAAAACCCCCATGACTGCAGGCAGAAAGAAGAGAAACAAAGGTAACATGATCGGGTTTTACTCCCAGGTTTATCATCTCACGAAAACTTTCCTTAGCCTTCCCAAAAAAGCCATGTCTGGCAAAAGATGACATTAATATGTTCCATGATAATCGTGACCGGTCGACTGATCGAGGAATTATTCTTAACACATCATCCATTTCTCCGCATTTTCCATACATATCCATTGTGGCATTTGCAACAAAAGGACTTGAGTCACAACCAAGTTTGATTGCCAAACCATGAAGCTGCTGGCCTTCCTCCAATATTGCCAGCTTGGCAGTGGCAGCAAGGCATTCAGAAAAACTAAATTGATCCACATCTACTCCAGCACGCCTCATCTTCAAAAGAAATTTCAGAGCCTCTTCCACATGGCCATGATGAGCATTTGCAGCCATAATAGCATTCCATGCACTAGCATTCCTATAAGTTAACCCATCAAACAAGTTGTTGCTTGAATTAAGATCGCCACACTTGGCATACATTGTTATAAGCGAATTCTGCACATATTCATCATACTGAAATCCTGTCAGAACTATAAAAGCATGGATGGGCATCCCGTGTTCCAATAGATCATTAGGAGCCAAGCAAGCTCCAAGAACATTTGAAATCGTAATATAGCCAGTAGATACACCTTCTTCTCTCATCAATTTGAATGCTTTTACTGCCTCGTCTGATTCTTCACTGTCTGCAAGACCACCAATGAGTGCATTCCAAGTAACTCCATCTCGGTTAGGCATTGTTTGAAATACTTTTTTTGCTTCAATCATTAGACCAGACTTTGCATACAGTGTAACCAATGCATTGCCAACGATCATATTTTCATGAAGACCATTACGAATTACAAGGGCATGAAGAGTCTTGCCTTCAGTAACAAATTCAGAATCTGAACAGGCAGCCAATGCACTAGTAAAAGTGATATAATTTGCTGCCCTTCTCAAGTAAAACATTATAGCAAGAAGTTTCAAGGCATCTAGGCAGTTCCCGTCATGAGCATAACAAGCCATCATGGAATTCCATGAGATCATATCCTTCTCCTCCATTCCTTGGAATACCAATTCCGCATCTTCACATTTTCCAGCATCAGAGTACATGGTTATCAGAGTATTGGATGCACAAACATTTGAGTTCCACCCAAATTTCATCACCAAAGAATGAATTCCTCTGCCCCACTTCAAATTATCCACAGAACCACAGCCTGCTAACATTGCTGAAAGTGTAGTAGAATTAATTTCCTTATGAACATGGCGCATCCAAGAAAAACATCTTAGTGACTCCTTACAAAGACCATTACGTATGTATGCTGCAATCATTGAGTTCCATGAAATCATGTCATGTTCATCCATGCCACTAAAAACATAGCAAGCTTCTCTCATGCTACCGAAACAACCAAACATTGATATAAGAGAGTTGGCCACTGAAACATTAGTTTTCAATCCATACTTTATAACATGTCCAAGAACTTGATAACCCAACAACGCATCTTCAAGTGATGCACAAGAACTAATCACAGAAGACATTGTGTTGTCATTGCAACTCAGTCCTTCAGACCTCATTTGCTGATATATATTCATTACCGTGCTTGGTTCTCCAGAGTCCATATAAGCAACCATCAATGCAGTCCAAGAAACTACATTTTTATTGCTCATCTCCTGAAAGACCTTCATTGCATCTGCAGCCAATCCATAAGTTCCATATAAATGCACAAGCGAAGTGCCTATAAAAACATCACTCAGAAGACCAACTTTAACGATAAAGCCATGAACTTGAACCCCTTCAATAAGCATCCACTCCGACCTCTCACAGGCAGTTACCAAACTAGCAACAGCAATCCCACTTGCCTTAACCCCAAAATCCCTCATTTCATTAAAGAACCGCATTGATTCCCTATAAAAACCCGCACGAACAAACCCCGACATCATATTATTCCAAGAAGCATCATTTCTTTCAGGCATTTTATCGAACAGGTAACGAGAAAAACCTATATGGCCAAACTTTGAGTACATGTTAATCAATGTGTTACTGTAAAACACAGTCAAATTGACCAATCCCTTAATGCAAAGTGCATGTAAAGCTTTTCCAGCTACTTCTTTGCTGATTTGAGAGAAACCCTTTAGATAAAAACAGGAGATTTCGGGGTTTGGGTGGTTTAAGAGGGAAACATACGTCCCGTAATGTCTGTTTGTGCTCGTGTTTGTGGGTTCTTCTTCTATGATTCTGCATTCTAAGGAAATTGTGGAGATTGGTTTTGGGTTTAGGGGGTTTTGGCGGGAAAAAATGTCGGCTATCAGTGGAGGTTTGGATCTGAAAGTAGAGAGTTTTCTGCAGCACATAGCCAGGTTTAACAACTTGTTTTGCCTCAGCGAGAGGGTGAGAAAAAAGGAGAAACGACGGCGTTTAAAGAGTTTGAGAGTTTCAGCAGGCTAAGTTTGTTTTCAAGCAAACTACGTCTATTTTTTTGCCACAAATGCCTCCATGCAATTGCGAAGTCATCTTAATATGGCAATGCTAAAGACTACTTTGGTGTTATGACCAGATGAGCAGCCAATCGAGTTTTAAATTAGAGTATCTACTGATGCATTCATTTACAATTCGAGTCGAGTCTCAAGACGATGAGACTCAGCGACTGTTAGACAATAGCTCAGAAAACGGCTGCCCTGTCTTAATACAGGAAGATTAGGCATCCCATAGAAAAGCTTCATATAACTATATTGCATGTCAAGAAATATCTCATTGGTCGAGGAATACACCCCCTTTTACAACATATTATGGCAAGGTAACAACTTACTATTCTTGAAGATCGAAATATATCAAACACATCATGCAAGAGTGCCCTACAACCAATTCATAGAACGCTCCAAAATGCCAACGTTCTAACAGAGGCTGATTCAAAATGTGTTGCATTCTACAGTGTCTGAAGAGCAGGATACAGACATATACAGAAACAAACAAAGCAAAACCACCGGTGCTGTCTTCTTCTCTAATGCTTCAATGCCCAGTTATGGGCACTCCTAGGCCCACTTGAAATGCCCTCATAGTATCGGGAATCAAGCTTCTGAGCGTTCCAGTCCTTGACAAAGACTGAAAACAATTCTCGTGCAGACTCAGAAGAAAGTTCAGAGAAAAACATTTTCTTCTTCTCTTTTAGCCACGTAGCAAACTCGTTATTCTTGGAGAAGTAATCGTCATTGGACAGCTTGTGAACCTCAGATTTCTGGAGGAACAAAAATTAACAACATACATCAGTGAAATAATGTTTAAATACTAAATAAATTTATAAATGATCACCATCCAAATCCCATTCAAGTTCAACAAACATACAACACCTGAAAGTTCCACTCTATTTGTCAACTTTCAGCATTTTCAAATTTTGACTTGTATACCTACGATACAGCTAGACAGGATGTGCATGGCATAAAAATTTCCTACTTACTGCTCTAATCAAGAACTTTCAATCTAAGCAAATTCTGCCGAGCAGGATACTTCATGCATGGTCTTCATCAAAGACAGCCAAATTAAATGCAACTAATATTCCAGCCATTTACAGAATTTAGGAATTATTTCCTTAGCCTATTGAAGTACACCGTCATTAACAGCACCCAAGTAAAAATTTGAACAAATGTTATAAATATCCAGACCCTAGAATGTCCTTACTTCAAAAGAATTAGAACTTTTGTCATTAAAATATGAAACTGCATATATCTCTTATATAGGCAGAGCATAGTGCCTTCCATGCAGCACTTGAAACAAAGGGCATTAGAACTATCTTCCACTTTGCGATGTAGGGCCCAATAAATGATGTGTACATTTAGGATTATGTTTCAGTTTGCTGAGTACAATTGAAGTTCTTCCCCAGCCAAGGACAGTGGCTGTGCAAGAGGTGGATAGAATTTGCAAAATCAAGCCTCCAGAACAGTAATTATAAACTCTCTGTAACTGAAGGTATCATTGGAACTTGGCTTAATACAAAACATGACTTAGGGATTATACCAATAAGTATTCTTTATAATGCAAGACACAAGCGAATTGTTTTCCTATCACCTAGGATTGCATTGCCAAATGGTATATCTAGCATTATTTACAACTGCCTAAACATCTGCCAAGAGAATTAATTAGTCTCCCCATTTAGATTTGTTGGTACATCAGCTTATATTTGTATGAATTCGAGATGCCTTTTATTCAAAACCTCATTGCAAAGCCTTAGAATACTATTACAGCATTAAGAGAGAAATTATCAAAATCAACTTAGCAACATCAGAGTGATTTCACATTTTATCCAAACATCTATTCCTCAGAATATCCTACCAGTTTAAGAGCTGAAAATATCCCAAATCACAATCTACAGCTTGATAAATAAAACATACCCTTTTGGATTCAGGTGTGTGAGTAATTGGTAGGGTGAAGGGTTAACAACACTATGGTAACAAGTCCATAATACTAGCAACAGCAAAATCAAAACCCCAATTTACATTCACAAAATCACAACACAAGAAAGCATCAAACTTCACTTCAAGATTACAGGCTTAACAAAACATACCGAGTCGCCATCCCTTTTGTGTCGTTTACTTTTGTGCTTATCCTTAGACTTCTTCTCTGAGGCAATGAATCATAGCAATGTTAATACACAACAACAGCATTAAGAGTCTTAATGCTTCACATAAATAAAAAACACAAAGAAACAAAAAAAAGTATAGAGTATGCCTTTATCAGAGTGGTGCCTATGAGACTTCTTGTCCTTTCTCTTCTCTTTCTTATCACTCTTTCTACTTCTCCTTTCATCGTCTTCTTCCTCATCACTTCTCTGCCTTTTCCTTCTTCTTCCTTCATCTACACATTCACAATCAAAGCCAAATTCAAAAACAACATTACAATCCCATCTTCCGCTTGAAACCTTAAAGACCATAACAAATCAAACTTATTTCTCCTAATAAGACTAGTGACGCAATTGAGGTGGGTTTTTCATTTTATTCAATACCCAGAGAGAAAAAAGCAACTATAACGATATTATGCTCTGTTTGGCTTGCTGAGAAAATGCAGGGAAAAAAAAAACAAAAAATAAAAATTCCGGCACTTAGACCTTAAGAACATAAAAAAACCAAAGTTTTTGACTTCCAAGAGAAGTACATAGAAGAATTGAGGTGAGTTCTTCACTTTAATCAAAAGCCAACAAAGAAAACATATTATATCAATTCAATATGCTTTCGATTTTCTTCTTTTTCTTTTTCACTTTCTCGAGAAAGAAACAGAAAATTCCAAAAAAAAAAAAATGAGAACCTTCAGATGAAGAAAAAGAGGAGCTTCTCTTCCTGCTCTTCTTCTTCTTCTCCTTCCTGTCGTTTCCCATTTTCGGCGAAATATGTTTCATAGGAAAGTGTGTTGTGTGTGTATGTATATATATACATACACAACGAGTGGTAAAAATTGTGATTGAAGTATCAAATAACGAATTTATCATCCGACTTAAGAAGACGACTGAAAAGTGAAGTGAAGCTCAAAAATGGATTGGAGCCCAAACTCATATGTTGGCCCAACTTTGATGAACCGCGAACTTCTTGTGGAGCCCTCAAATTTTAAGGCCGAAAAGCTGAAAATAAGAATTTGACATTTTTTTTAAAAAAAAAAAACAGATTTTTTACTTATCAACCTTCAATTTCAGAATGAATAATAATTGTATTAAATCAACACAACTTTCATGTTCTTGTTTTATGGTTTCCTTGATGAATGAGTGAAACAATTCTCAATGATAAAACTGGAAATCTCATAAGGATACCTATTCATGGAAATCAGAACTCATCAGTAACGATTTCTCAACTACTGATGATGATGCGCTAAGACTATTCTTTACATAATATGATTTGGCACTTAACCTCCGACGGTAATTATTCAGTGAAATCTGGTTATGTAGTTGTTGAATTTTTACTCACTTCAAACCGAGCTGCTGCTGCTGCAATTCAACCTAACAATTATATTCTTCTCCTAAGAGATGGAAGTAGATTTGGTCCCTGGATATACCTACCTGATAAGCAACTCAAGGTTTTTATGTGGAGGGCCTTCCTTGCAGTGGGATGTAATTTGCGGGGGGAAAAAAAGGGTTAATGATTCCAAGCCTATATGTTCTATATGTGAAACTCAAGTTCAACTCACTTCACTTGTAGACCAAACTTGAAAAATAAACATTAACAGAGAGTGAAAAAATTTTGTGTCCCAAACGAGGACCACTGCCGAAATACAGGATGCTTTCCTTAACACTTGTGGTGCGGTGCGGTGTGGTCCGGTCCTTCTTATTGCCGATTTAATGATAAAAATTATCTCAATTAAGTATTACGATTTAAATTCTTTAATATCAATTTAGGTTATTTGAATCTTAGATTATTAATTTTTGAATAAATATTAATTTTTTTCTTTATCTTTAACCGTTAAAGCATTAATCGTTAACTTGAATGCTTAAACGAAGTTATTTAAGTATTTTAGTTTTTTATTTTATTTTAAATTTAATGGTAAAAATTACCTTGAAATTGCTAAGGATATAACAATTAAAGTCTTTACTACTATTTTGGGTTATTTGGATTCTAAACTATTATTTTCTAAATAAATGTTATCATTCTTTTATTATTTTTTACGAGTTTAAGCATTGACTATTAACTTGAATGCTTAAACAAGCATTTTAGATTTTTTAAATAATTAATTTTAAATAATAATAATAATAGTTAATACGGATAGTTTATTGTCCTAATATAAGATGGTATACTATTACAAGACACTGTTAAATCAATTGAATTAATTGAATTGAATAGAGAAAGAAAGAGATACTACAATCAATGAAATCAAGAGTTTGCAGGCAAGAATAACGAAGGAAATGAGACATGAATTGGGTCTAAATATTGTTATAGGAAAGTGTTGGTATATTTTTTTTAATAAAATATTAAAAACTATATTCGGTCTTAATAAAAAATAATTAAAGCACATGTTATTTAATTCTTACTTATCATTTTGAAACTGTTGAAAGTTTCATTTTCAAAAGGACAGTTACACATTTAATTACAAGCAACTTTCTTGACATTTATTTGCAATGTTTTTCTTTTTCTTCCTGCTTTCAACATTTATTCAATTAATTGTCCAACAAAAAATTTATACACCATATATACAAGATTTTTCTTCATATAATGGTACAACAACAAAAAACAATCAACTATAATGATAATATGATAATATATTCTTGCTTATTAGAGAGAAAAGTGTAGCAAGTATTTTCTAAATAAGAAAAATAATTCTTCATTTTTTGTGTTTGTTAATCTTCTACGATAAAATCATATAATGCTTATTTATCTTATCTTTGGGTAAAAGTGGTGTTTATTATTTTTAAAGTTTCAAATCTTACAAATAATGCAAATTTGTTAAGACACGACAAGGTGGCTGAGCTTGTTGTATCCACGGGATTACATGCAATATATTCTTGATTCGTTGCACAAATAAATTCTATGAATGGCTCGTATCGTCTCAAAAAAACAACCTAGTTAGGGTTTTGAGCCACTCACCTAAAAATTAGAGTAAAACTATTTTGATGATTCGGTCATCTTTATATCGTGAAATATGGTAATGTGATTCTAATCATTAATTTTTCTAATGAACAAGGTAAAAAGTTTCAATTATTTATTTATTTTAATTTACAATAATTTATTTATTTATTGTGTCAATTTTTATTATTTAACTATATTCCTTTTATGTGCTAGGAATAACAATTCGAGACGACATTATGTTTGTGATTTTTTTATTAAAATTATGGGAAAAAAAATACATGTGCGATTGAGGTTGGATTTCAAATGTCGGTTGATCCGGTCTTTCCAGCTATATTACCTATAGAAAATGACATTTGTAATTTCTTTACAACACCCTTAACGTAGGACCTAATAGGTTGAGAATATTGCTACCGACAACTTATGTTTGGAGTGCAATGAACGTAAGTTCCCAAGGCACTCGTGACTTATTTATAGATCTAAATGGTACACCTACGTTACGAAAGTTCACTAATTACGGTTAGGTCCTACGCATAGTCCCAAATATACTATAAAATTTTTCGTGTTTCACAATCCTATCTATGTTCTTTAAATCGAACTATCCAAATTTGTGATACTCGGTTTTTCTTAAATTCATTTTTTTCATTTAGTTATAATAATTTATTTAGTTACAATTTATCCATTGCCCCTCTTTTTTTATTTAATTATCTAGTCATATCGTTTAGTGAAATTACTATGCTGATAATTAATTTAAACCATTATTACGCTAGCAGTTCACTAATGGTACTTTACTTACCTACACACACATATTTACATAAGAAACTAGGTTAATCGGTTCATTGCCACCTATCACAAAAATGGCTTATTTACTAATTACATCCGGTTTTTTATCCCTTTTTATCTACTCGTACCATAGCTTTAAGGAGCGCATAACGAACACAATCATGGCTATAAAGTAAACTAAAATACCCGGTACAACAAGAGCTATTGTATGTATCGGATCCATACGCCAACCACGGCGAAGATACACGCGACGGATGCCTTCTACGGTAGTCGGCTCCAAGGTTATGAACACTATCTTTACCCGGGATAACTACACCATAAGTATATACGTGAGTAATAACTCATTAAGTTAACCCATGCATGTACATGTGTATGTATGAATAAAACACCGATATATGCATAATAAATTCTTTTTCTTCATGTCATAAAACTTTCATGAATCATCCGAAAATCCTTTTCATTGTCTTTGGACATGTCCCATTTAGATACTTCGTGGTTTCCATAATATATGTCCAACGAACCGGATGCACCATACTAAGCCTTTAAAAGTGCACGTCCGCACTTGCTCGGCTCCGAACCATTACCATTACTCGTATGTAAAACCCATGAAGCCCATCTTCAAAAAACCTCGAGTCATGAAAATCCTTTTTCTTTAAATAGTTTCGATTGTTATCGAAACTTATAGCATAAAATATATTTTCATGACTTAAAACATTATTCATGAGTTTTGGCATGCATATGCATTTTGAATGACAATGCATGCTAACATTGATAACCTAGTACACGTCCTAAATGGTCATGTAATCATGTCATAAAAACACATATAAAATTAGGCGACATAACGGCATGATAACATTACCGTCCATAAATCATTTCAATCAACAAATACGATATCATCACCATAACAAGAACATAACTTCACAAGTATCCACATTTCAACCATAAACAACACTTATTGTTCAAGTATATTAAATACCAATTTAAGATACAAATAGGCATAATAACACACAAAATGATTAATTTTAAATTTTGCTTCATAGTAGACCAACTTTCTATCCTAATATTATTTAGTCATTTCCTTTTGATTCTTATTGCCCATTTTACATCCCTTATGTTCTAAATTAATTAAAATCTCCTAATTGTGTAATGTTTGACTAATTATGGGTAATATTTTCATATTGGGCCTTATTGGGCCCAACTTTCAACTTCCCTATTTTAGACCCATTCTTGGCACCCACTGAATTTTTATGTTCTCATCAACCTTTTACCCTATTCTAACTCCAAATTGATCATTTGAAGGATTAAAGGTTATTTAAACTTGATACCTAAATTTCTCTCTTTTAGGTCGAATTTTCCTCCCTTCCAAATCTTAATAATTAATTCTCATTTTATCCTAAAATTTTAGCGCAATATAGCCTAAATACACATAAAGTATAAGGATCAATTTAATTGACATTTAAGGTACAAATTTCTGCCTAAATTCGTATTGGGCCTTAATGGGTCTAAATTGGGCCTAAGCCCATATAACCAACTTTCTTTCATTTTTATCAAATTTTTCATTCCTACACATCAAAAAAGGTTTATTCAAGTGTGAATAAACCATAAAACCACAAAATAAATGCTTGGAATTCAAACCCTAAAATTCCCAAATTAGGTCGAATATAATCCCTCTAATTTAATGAGTTTTTCTTCAATTAAAGTGTAATTTTTTTCATTATAAAACACTAATTCAAACCTAAATAAGCTATAATCAAGTCCTAAAACATCAATTGCATGGAAGAATTAAAATCCCTAATTTAAGCATTTGGGCCAAATGGTATCATTGAAAGAACCTTAAAAAAATTTGGGTTTTAACTCCGAATTTCAAGCTTAATCAACCTAATTATATCCTAATTTCATAAATTTCAAGTCAAAATTCATTTCCCCCAATTTAGGTGAACAAGAACCTTAGCTCTAATTTTTCTCAATTTATGCAATTAAACACAAAATTGGCATGACATTAAGCTTGTGTGTGATGTGGATGAAGTTAACTTACTTGTTTGACCTC